CACACCTTTGACAGTTTGCGCAATTGACTCTGAAGTGCTCCTTAAATAAAGCACACCACAGCGCCGTTGGCTTGAAAGGTTAATGACTAGAGCAATCAAACGTTCAGTGTGGCAAGGAGGAAAGGATGGGAGGGCAGCCCCAGCATGGAACTCTCCCACTGTGATCTCCGTTTGAGGAGGATTCACCTGAAAGCCGGGGAGACAAAAAAAGAATAAAAATCACGATTGCCAAATTCAGCGTCGAAGAGGCTGAGGACCCTTCACTAAATCTATTTCCCAATTAAAATATAAAAACAATTATTATTATTTTTTTAACCAAACACACATTTCCTCCAACTACTCAGATCTGGTATCGTTTTACTGTAAGAAATCCTACAGTAGCTGTTTTTTCATCAGATAATTTGCCTGCGCGCAACAATTTTATGCTTCTTACCCTTCTCTCGCAAACGATAAGTTATAACCCTGTTGATGCTACTACTGATCACTTCTTAGCATACGCACACGTATCCATACAGGTAGTCCTTGACTTACGACCTTAAGTCACTTGTGCTGCTTGTTAAGGGGCTTATTACATGACCGACGTGATTTTTTTTTTTTTTTGGAGCAGTTCCTAGGTGAAGCAAATCTATCTGGTTCTTAATGTACCTTGTTAAGTGAACCCATATGATTCAATTAGAATAGAGCTGGAAGGGACCTTGGACTTCTTCTAGTCCAACCCCCTGCAGTGGCTGTCCAGTCTCTTCTTAAAAACCTCCAGGGATGAAGCACCTACAATGTCTGAAGGCAACTTCTGTTCCACTGGTTGATTGTCCTCACTGTTGGGAAGTTTCTCCTTAATTCCAGGTTGCTTCTCTCCTTGAATAGTTTCCATCCGTTGTTTCTTGTCCTGCCTTCAGGTGCTTTGGATAATAATTTGACCCCCCTCTTCTTTGCAGCAGCCCCTCAAATACTGGAAGACTGCTATCATGTCCCCCCTAGTCCTTCTTTTCTCTAGACTGGCCAAACCCAATTCCTGCAACCGTCCTTCATATGTTTTAGTCTCCAGGCCTTCAATCATCTTAGTTGCTCTTCTTTGCACTTTTTCCAAATTCTCTCAACATCTTTTTTTGTAATGTGGGGACCCAAACTGGATGCAGCATTCCAGGTGTGGCCTTACTAAGGCTTTATAAAGTGGTAGTAGTACTTCACACAATTTTGATTGTTTATACAACCCAGGATTGTATTAGCTTGAGTCTTAATTGAAATCTGTGACCCTTAAGTTATGTGTGTTTTTTTAATCGAAACTGGAAGTAAATGCTGGTTTCCGGTAAAAAATCATTGTACATTGTGGCTACGTGACTGAAGGATGCTTATAAATGTAGGCTGGTTGCCAAGAATTTGTTAAGCGTAATTATGCAACTGCAAGGGGACAATAGCCATCAGAACTCGGAATCTATGTCATAAGTGCCTTTTCTTTTTCTTTGGGGATTTAAGCAACCAGTCGTAAATCAAGGACTATCTACATGGAGTGCAAAATACAGATCCCCAGTGAATAAATGGGAGGAATCTAGACAGGTTCCACTCACTGAGAGTGGTCCTTGGTTAATTATGGTAATTGAGACCCAGAATATATGTTGCTTAGGGATGTGGTTAGAAAGCATATAACCACACTTCACAACTGCATCACTTCACAAAACAGCAGCCCTGGTGCAGCAGGAACGTGGTGAGGCTGGAGGTGGCAGTTACCATTTGGGAGAGAGAGTTACCAGAGCAACAACATCAACCCACTTCTGCAGGCTTCCCCATTGACTTTGCTTGTGGGAAGCCGGCAGGAAAAGTTGCAAGAGGGACCACCTGACTGTGGGATACCACAACTGTCATACATGTGAGCCTGTTCCAGCACCCAATTCACGTGACCATGAGGGTGTTGAGATGGCCAGGAGGATGCCGAGTTCTGATCATAAACACCACGATACCATTGTAACATTGAACTGAACAAGCAATCATTAACCAAGGATTGCTGCCTCTATTGTATCTCTATTAAATCTCTACTATAATAATATATAAACTGCTTCCAGCTGATGGATCTGATAATTGCATCTTCCCATCCTAACTGTTTTGCTATTGTGTATGAATTACAGTAATTTACAGTTTTGAAGTGCTGGTTTCAACAGAACACAATCACAACCAGCACTTGTAGAACAGTAACACTTGTCACCACTCCATTGCAATACACAGACTGTCATTCCCAGAAACGTAACAAAATGCTCCTTTTCTGCATAGCAACCGTCAAGTGAAGGTAAGCAAATTAACCACACCAAAAGGAAGAATATTCTCACCAGGCCCAAATAGACATTCATGGGGTGTTTACAACTATTAGGCAGAGCCTTGGCCCTCTCCCATGGTTAGGTAAAAGGTAAAGGTTCCCCTCGCACATCCGTGCTACTCGTTTCTGGCTCTAGGGGGTGCTGCTCATCTCTGTTACAAAGCTGAAGAAGAGCCAGCACTGTCCAAAGATGTCTCCGTGGTCATGTGGCCGGCATGACTAAACACCAAAGGCGCACAGAACACTGTTACCCTCCCACCAAAGTGGTCCCCTTTTTCTACTTGCATTTATTTTACATGCTTTCAAACTGCTAGGTTGGTAGAAGCTGGGACAAGGAACGGGAGCTTATTCCGTTACGCGGCACTAGGGATTCGAACTGCCGAACCACCGACCTTTCTGATCAACAAGCTCAGCATCTTAGCCCTTGAGCCACCATGTCCCTCTCTCTCATGGTTGGTCCCCTCTCAATAGTCTTTGAAGATAGGCTGTTATTCAACCCAGAGGTGTTGACGGTTCTCACTCTCTTCCCAATTAGCTTTATTGGCCAACTGTTGGCCCCGCTGTTTTGCAGAAGAACAAAAGTTTTCTTCTGCCCATGAGAATGCTTTACATCTGAAGACAAAGCAAAGGGAAGACAGGTGGAGACGGGAGATAAGAATCACGACACCGAAAGTTGGCCTTCTGGAGCAGGGACTCCTTTCTCAACACGGGGCACTGGGGTCCAAGATGAAAGAAACAGCAGTATAGCTCCAGCAGAATGGGTGAAAGGCCTTACCTGACATGCCAGAAGAGCTGAGAGGCCAAGGGAAGGGAGGGTCTGAGGGCAGGAGGTCTTGCAAGGCAGTTTGGGGGAGATGGAGTTGAGGGATCTATTCTTGAGTCCAAAAGCAAAGCATGGAATTCATGGCCTCCATCCATCCCTTGCTAATTCTTACCTGGCCTCTTATCACTTCTGCTCTAAGTCAGGGCCAATCACCTGACCTTCTCTTCCAGATGATGGGGAGAAAAGCCTTACCAGGTTTTGAACACCTTGAAACTGTTCTTGAAGAGGCCGAAAAAAATATATATATGGGAAAACTTAACTTTCCTATCAATACAATAAAGAGAATTGGCGTAAAGTAAAATGATCAATTGGTGAGAGGTTTTATCTCCTCATGGGAACCCTAAGTAGGAAGGACTTCCAAAACCCTAAAGGAGAGAAGCTCAGTCATTAATCCAAATTCATTTGAAGAAAGATTTCCTCCTCTTTTGAGAAGATTAGCTTCCTTAGGGTTTGAGACGGCTGTCCTGAAATCAAGACAACTGTTTATTTTCAGTGACAAAGTGTCTAGAGTGATGTTCCAAAATGAAAAGCTAAATGTTTTGTGTGTTCTTAGGGTTTTGTTGCATGAAAATAAAGTTACAGGGAAAAAATACTGATCTGCACTTGTGCGTTGGCCAGTTAATTCCCATTAGTTAGTAAGACTGGGTCTGCAACTTTTTCATTTCATTAGACTTTCTGTCCTGTCCATAACATCTAGCTGAAAACAGCCTGCCTTCCATGGAGGACCTGTGTACTGCATGGCCAGAAAGAAGGCTGTGAAAATATCTACAGATCCCTCGCATCCTGGACATAAACTGTTTCAATTCCTTCCCTCAAAACGACGCTATAGAGCCCTGCACACCAGAACAACTAGATACAAGGGGAGTTTTTCCCGAAAGCCATCACTCTGCTAAACAAACAATTCCCACAACACGGTCAAACTATTTACTAAGACGGTATTACTATTCTTCTCCTCATCCTTCCTATTACCTAATTCCTTAGCTTCTTATGACCATCACTTTGTTGCTTGTATCTTATGATTTATATTGTTTGATTTAGTATCCTAGTATGATTGATGTTGATTGCTTATTTAGTATCCTATGACTATCACTAAGTGTTCATTCTTCCAATTCAGGATTAATGCATTTTTATGATGACTATGATCATAGTTGATCACTTGTTGCTTTTATGTACACTGAGAGCTTCTGCACCAAAGACAGATTCCTTGTGTGTCCAGTCACACTTGACAGTAAATAATTCTATTCTATTCTATTCTATTCTATTCTATTCTATTCTATTCTATTCTATTCTATTCTATTCTATTCTATTCTA